GGCATAAATATCTAAAATAGACGTGCTTAACAAGAGGTGTATTAAGAAGTAAAACTCAGCGGAAATGTACGGATTTTATTGAGTAAAAAGTAGGTCAATCCAGGGAGTAACCGCCAAGAGCCAGAATTTTGAATAATTGAATAGTGAAAAATCATGAAGTTTCCATGCTATAAATCAGATTTATGAAGATGTCAGCAATGACGACTTCATAAGTTTTGAAGAGTAGGTGGTGCTTTATTAGATGCTGAAAAAAATCAAATCGATTCGAGAGATTTTCGCCGAAAACCAGAATCCTAAAATATTACGCCTTTTAGCTTGCTTAGTGACTGCTGACAGTTAAACTCATATAGATCCTGAATGTGAAAGTGTGGTGTTGACTTCATAGGTTTTGTAGAGTGAGGTTTGCCCTACCAGAATAAGTCTTAGACGCACCTATCCATTCAAACAAGTAAAAAAGTTTTTCAAATTTTAACTGCTCCTAACTCCCTCAGAATTGCATGAATCATGTTTCAGCAGGTTAGATTCTCCTCATCGAGAGCTTTCAGATGATGTATAATATGTGGGGTCCTCATCGAGAGCTTTCAGATGATGTATAATAGTGGGGGTTTTATGCCTGCTGCGGTTTACGCCCGGAAGGAAAGACCTTTCATCACTTCTCCTCTGGCGGCAGCCAGCCAATACATTGAAGTGGGCGAGTGGGAGAATTAAATGATGAAAAGTCTCCTCCTCGGGCATAAGTTATAGAAGGCACCGAATGCCCACAAGCTATATATCATCTGAAAGTTCTTGATGAGAAAAATCTAACCTATGAAGTCTTAACATGATTCATGCAGTTCTGAAGAACTATCTGTTGAATTTTGAAAAGCACTTCTTTACCTGCTTTTCTAAGAGTTTGGCTTTGGGTGGTGTTTGAACGGATCGGCACAGATAAGATCTATTCTGATAAGCCAACCTTTACCTACAAAACCTGTAAAGTCGCAACATTGCATATCTTCACATTCCAGATTTATAGAAGTCTAAACGTCAGCTGTCACTAAGCAAGCTAAAATATTTTAGAATTCTGGTTTTCCGCGAACATCAGTGGAAATTGGAAATGGAAACAGTGGAAATTTCGCAAGATTTCTCACTATTCAATTATTCAAAATTCTGGTTCTTGACGGTTACTTCCTGGATCGATCTACTTTTTTCGCTTCACGTTGTAACAAAATTTACTCAAGAAAACTCGTACAGTTCCGCTGAGTTTTATTTCCAACTGCTCCATTTGATAAACACGTTCATTTTAGCATCTTTTACTCATTTTCCTTTTTTCATTTAGCAAAAAAGTTTCCAAAACCCAAAAGTGAAGGTGGTCTTTATCTTTCCATTTTTTCGAGTTGTGTGAAGATATCACCTGGATAAGAACAGTGGGACGGATGAGGAGTCGTTTTCGAGAGGCGTCGCCGCGACGCGACGTTAATCAGTACAAGACTCAGCTCCCATCAGTACTCCTGTCCGCAGTGCTACTTATGACATCGTGTTATGTAATTGCCCCCCCCCCCCCACGTGACGTCGTGCCATCCTTAGCTGCGGAGAGTTTTAAAAGACACAAAATTTGGGCCCGGCGAGTACCTCCGCGCGCGGTGTGACTTCTGTTCGGTAGCCATGTACAACAAAAACGCTATCCTTCACCAGCAATAAATACCAATGGGTTTTGTTCATTTCTGAGACATTCTGCGGATAGAGGTCATCGTATAGTTGTCCTCACCCCACTAGTCGGTCGGTGGTCGAATTTGAATTCGAACTGGAGCAGTCCGGCCGCGGCAGAGCGCGGCAGACGCCCCTCAGCCAAATGCTTGCACATGAGTTTTTCTATCATTTTCTTCGTGCTACTCTGCTATCTCTCGTATTTCCGCGATGTTCCTGATCAGATTTTACGATCGCACTCCTAACTATATTGTTTCGTGCAGTTGTGCTCGTTTGTTTTACATTTTTCCAGGTAAACCTGGAATAAAAATGCGATTGGAGATTTCTGGGTGGGAAATAGCTCTTTCCGGTAAGTGACATATGCACAAGTGTGTTTTGTTAAATTATGTCACAATTTTTTAGTGAAAAGTGTTTACCTGGAAGAAAATGTAATACAAAGAGCACAACTGCACGAAACAATAGTTAGAGGTGCGAAACTTCAAAATCTGATTAAGAACATTGCCGCAATACGAGAGTTAGCAAAGAAACACGAAGAAAATGATAAAAAAGCTCATGCGCAAGCGTTCGGCTAGGGGGCATCTGCCGCGCACTGCCGCGGCCGGCCTGCTCCAGTCCGAATTCAAATTCGACCACCGACCGACTAGTGGAATGAGGACCACTATACCCTTAATCTTTGAAAATGACAATTGCGCGAGTAGAGAACTATATGTCTTCCAAAGGAAGGCTCCCACACATATCATTGTCGATTGTCATGTCGGGGTCCGAAAGAATACTCGAGTAAAATACAGAATAAGGGAATTGCAGTTTTGTCGCACAGGAGACATTGATTCATGTCATCCATTCGAACATACCCACAGTTCCCGAAAGCGTGTCAAGCGTGCTGACGCTTTTAGTTTAACGTGACTCCTGTGCGTGGGAAAATAAGGAAAATAGTACACCGACTAGAGGAGGCACATTGGTGACGTCATGGATTGGCAAACAGAGCGGGTTGGGCACTTGTGAATACCGATCTTCGAATCATAAATTCCGCCCAAACTGTAAATATCGCGCACTTCATCGAAACTCCAACGTAAGTGATTGTATGACATTTTGATTGCAAATATTATATTCCCTTCGCCCGAGGGATCCCATTGTATTGGAAATTGTTGTTGCGTGTGCTTCAGTGCTCAACTGTATATCAAAGCAGTTTTGTGGTTAGAAGTCAGATGTATCTAACTCAAATCCGACATGGATTCATTGAGCTATGTGAGCACAAATGATCAACGTGTTATACAACCAAGCACGGTGGAATTTCGACAAGTATGCAGTGTTTACAATTAGGAAAATTGTGAGGACTTGTTTTCATAAGCTCGTAACTCGGCGATTTCCATGGACTAAAGCCTAAGATACCAATCGAAGGCACAGTCCTAGTAACTTTGACCTGTAAAAGCAAGCGGTCAAGTTTTCTAAAAGATACGCGAGAAGTGCAGGCGAAATTACCAACTTTCATGTCTCACTTAAAGTCACCTCACCATGTCTGAAAAAAGAAGCCCTGTACCCATAGAGACCACAGGTTTTATAAACAGCGCGTTCGAAAATCTTTAGAAGGAATAAAGTCTCCTTTAAATCCAAGATTATCAACATTTTAATCAAAATCCATCCGCGAGCTTCAAAACGTAAAACGAGAAAAAATGAGAGAAAAAATGAAATAACCCGAGCATCTCGAAAAACTATAAAGGTTATCCCACCTGCAGATTACGAATATCACATCTGCTTAGCAAGAATGCTTCATAGTAAACCGTAAGGAAAATTTAGAACGACATATTTTTCCAGAACTCACCAGCCCTTCTATTTCTTTTGGAAAGAAATCTACGGCTACTTTCTAGCCCTCTATGTTCTACAAAGGAATTTCTATCAAAAGGTTCTTGCTGGAATCTACTGGGCCAATGTGCGTTGCTTTACACCTTTGCGGAATGATCTCCGCATAAAGATTTGAGAAAACTGGAGACGGAATATCGAGCACAAGTTCAACGAAAACATTTGGCTTGAGATCTGAACACAAAGCTGCTTCCGAATTTAGAATATATGTATTTTGAAGGAAGATATGGCTGCGTAGTTTGCGTGATTCGCGTGAATCCGCGACATTCTGAGAAATCCACGAGAATTTCGCACATTTGTGAGTTATTCTACGTAACAAACCTCCTTCTTCACCTACACCTCTGAACTTTACATACTCAGAAAAACCACCATTTCTATGGTGTGACTTGCTGGTTGAACTATGTGCTCCGTTTCTGCGGTAGTACGTGCAATACGACGAATTTTCTGTCGGATGATGTTAATGCTGGTAATACCCAAACTATAACTCTCCTAGGAGTGGAAAGTTCGGAAAAAATTTATGGCAAAAAAAATTTCGAGCTTACAAATTATATCAGGAATGGATTGGTTACGGACGAAGGCAGATAGTGGATCAAGCCCGAAATACGAAATCTTGACAGCTTGAGTTTCAAAGGATTCTCTCAACCCCATACAATAAGTGTGAGCTTGCTTTGATAAGCTCCTTTGTGGCGGCTCACAATTTTTTCAGTATTTCTGTACTCACTATCTGGAAGCTATATAAATCCAAGGTAAATATCAACAAAAAACATTATTTGTTCTGTGTATAATGAAAAGTTTTTCCGACAAACCAAGTCATGCATGTTTTGAAGGGATTTGGAGGGACGCCTCCAAAACTCCAGCTTTAAAACATTCTATCAAGTAATGAATGGTTCATAGAATCTATAGAAAGTGTGGCATGCCAATTGAAAACTACATTTAACCCGAGGGGCTCTTGAGTGAGAGGTGGGTGTACGGCAAGGTGTTAAGTTTTCGGAATTTACCGTATCTTACATAGTGGACTCAGTCGGTATATTGTATACAAAGTCATTCATTTGATCTAGTGCTAACTCGTAACTTCCACACCCTATGGAGCAATGACGTATTCATACCTTCTGAACTAACTCTGAAATTCTGCTCTTATTCCTCGATTATAAAACGATTGTCGTTCAAAGTTGCAAATCCGTAGTACATGGACTTTGTAACATAATGCTCTTTGTCTTATCATTCAGCATTCAAAGCTTTGAGCAAACTAAATAAATCCCATGGGTTTTGAGTTTTTCCTTCAGTCATACATAATTACATAAAAACCAGCCAGAACTAATCTGCCTATCAGTGATAACACCAGATGCTCTCTCTATATAAAGGCGGTTTACCATCGCTACTTAGTCCAATTTTGCTCATTTTTCGTCACGTTATAACCTACTTGAAATAGTGCGTTTTTTCAGACGAACTAACTGAAGAAAATGAGACTTCTGTTAGTGTTTTTGGCAGTAATTGTCCTTGCTGAGGGTTATGCCGCGTACTGGGACCTCCCCCTATGTGGCCTGTGCCAAGATTTGGTCGGCTATTTGAAAGGAAAGCTTGAAGGAGGAGTTGACGATGTTCAAAAGGTTTTTGCGTTTATCGCTCCATGATTGTAGTATCACATAAGCATACTGTTCGAACAATTTTATTGTACTAACTAAGCCATCTTTCAGATTGCAACCCAATTCTGTGGGGAAAAGGCTCCAATCCTTCTCCAAGGAGCATGCAAGAGCTTCGTGGAGGACAGTATGAGCCGCATTGTGGCACTATTAAAGGTGAGTTAGAAATTTATATTCATCACTATTCATGCACCCTACGACGTATGGTCAAGTAGTGTGTACATTATGATTTCTGCCTTCGAACAATTCCGAATCTTTCAGGAGAAGGTCGACGTGACAAAAATCTGCACTATAATCAAGATGTGCAAAAACTAAATCCATGAAGTTTCAATAAATCCTTCACGCACCTTTGGAATTTCAGCAAATTAATCTGAAATAATTGAATGCAATTGTGCGAGGCATTCCAACACTGAAGATGTCTCTCACCAGCACTCAGAAATCATGAAACAACTCGCGTATATTAACAACATGTCTTACGCAGGTGTTGACAGAACCGATAGCATTCCTTTAGTAACAATATATCTAACAGCTACAAGTATCGCACACAAAAAGTGAGGGATTCTGCGAAAGTGCTACAAATTCTAACACTGTCCCACAATACGTGGTTGCAAATGCTCAACACACCAGCATAATTAGTTGTGTCATGATGTCTTATTAATCCATAATTTGCTTGACAAATTGGAATTTTCAAATTTTGCACTGAATTCAACACACAAACGAAAACGGAAAAACGCGATGATGACTCCTTTTGAATCTCACTAGTTTGACCCCATAGTGCTTCAAAGTACCGCCTCCATTGAACGGGTGGAGATGTGGAGTAACGCGCTGTCGATTTTCGAGTAAAAGGACATTGCTTATGAGGGTTTACAATCACATGCTAAAATACTTCAAGGGTCTTCTGTGAAAATTTAGTGAACGGCTTTGGTTAGCTTTCAAACGAGTTGCAAGCCTGTAGTAATGCTTGTCGTGCAGCTAAAGAGAGATTTTGAGCTCAATGTGGAAGCAACACACCTCAAGCGTTGGTACGAAAGTAAGCTATACAGACTAGTAGGGCTCTTTTGGAAGTAAGGGCAAGCCAAGACCCTGAAAGTAGCCAAGAAAACAAATTTTTGAGAGGAATCAGACATACGATTGCAAAAACAAATTTTGCTGGCAGCACTACTCGAAGATAAAACCATTTAGAAAAATCTGTTTTTCTACTTAATCACTAATCAACAACCGCGTGCTACCGAGATCTACAACTGATGATTTTTTTTTGCTAAAGTGTTGATTAGGGAACGAAACTTATCCACCCAAAGCACTTGCCGCAGCGTAGTTATAGAGGTCATGAGTTGTCAGCAACATTGATTAGCGCCTGATCAGCACTCTCAAGCACGCTGTTTTCAAATTTTTTTCGATTTGGAAAGTTGTTCGAAGAATTTCATCGCGCTGATTTTTCAATCTACGGTGAGGTCATAAAAAGCTCTTTCTCTCAAAAAAGGAATAAATTTGGAAGTTTTGAGCGAAACAATTAGCATATTCAAAAACATTGTGCTCAAGAACCCTTAAATGCAAATTTTTACTCTAATAGACAGATATCGTTACTGAAGTTGAAGTTCGAAATTTCATTGAAATTCAGTGTAATGTATTTCCAAGTGAGGACGAGGGTGTTGTATGCACACATTGGCTCTAAATACGGTGCTGATTAGGTGCTAATTAAAGTTGCTGACTTATGACCTTATAACTACGCTGCGGCAAGCGCTTTGGGTAGATAAGTTCCCTCCCCCTGATTACAACGCGATTCAAAACATTCCACTAAGTCCGCTATTGTGCAAACTGAAAAACACCACTAACAGGAAGTTGGTCATACTTGAACCGATGTCCTTGTTACGTTACAATGCTTATGGGAAAAAATTGTCTTACCAATCCGGCTTATGTGAGAGCATTGACTAGTGCTGCAACAGTTGAGCACGGCCGCCGAAACTGTACATTCCGCATTTGCACGAACTTACTGGACTGATCGAGACAGACATAAAACGGAAGATCTCTCATTACCCTTTTCGGCGAATAACATCGTCCGTCTTACACATCCGATATCTATTATCTAGCTTGAAAATGAGACGCTAATAAATGGGCAAAACTCAAACATTTTGAAGACTCGCAAATAAAGATAAGATGATGCAGCTTCACTAATCTCCTATTATGCACTGGAGTGGTAAAGTCACATAAAGAGTTTATCTTTCGATCTTTCATTAAAGCGTGCCTTATCTTAATGTGTCAAATAACTGGCTTATCCCATAGACCCCGAATTTGCATGTGTTTGCTGTCATGTGCTTTACCACGCCACTGGCGGTAATCTTTAACTTATCAGATTTTACACAAGTACTCTGCGTTGATACCACTGCTT